AAAAAGGAAAAAATTCTCATTAACTTTTAATGAACGCTAAGTTTCAACACTATATTTTCCCAAGTTTAGTAAGTTGTAAAACGATCTTCTTGGTAAGATGAATTTTTTTTGTCTCGATAAGCTACATAAGCAAACGAGGTAACGAGCGATAAAGAAAACAATGAAAATCGAACGAGAAATATTTGCGCGTAGTTTCGAACTACATACATACTGTTTGTTGTTTCAAAATATTTCCCGAAGCTGTAGTGATAAAATCTGGTTGTTCGATTTTCACGTCGGAGGGTAACCCGTATGTTGCGGTTTTGATAGATTTTTTAAATTTCACGGCCAATACTCGGTATTCACGATAAACAGAACAAATCGGTCTATTTGCGTTTTCGTTACTATCAATATCGGGACCACGGGACAACAGTGGGTCCGCAATAAATCGAACGGTACTCGGTAGGTATACATTCGTATAACAACGACGACGTGACGGCAATACAAAATTTTCCTTTAGCGTGAGAGTTTGCTTCCCGATACACCCCTCTCTGCCTGCCGAGATTTCAAGACGAGACGAGCAATGGCCTGTGAACCATTATTATTTGCCTAATACTGTCTCTTGCTTTTTTAACGATAGGAAAATATACAATAGTGTCTTCTCCGATTTGTGAAATGGAGTAGACACACGAATGTTATTATTTAAAGAACTAAAAGATAATATTCTTAGTTCAGCATGTTGAGTGGTGGAGAAGCAGGACTGAATTAAGATTTATTTAAAATAAATTCTAATTTATTCTAAATAAAATTAAATAACACTTAATCTCAATGAAAAAGGGCAAAGGTAAACAAATTTTCATTCTCCCCTTAGTTAGACTTTGCGTATAGGTCGGCGTTTTGCATAAATTCAGGTAATCGAATAATTGAAAGAAAGAAAGAAAAAGTTAAAAATATCAAAATATCAGATTTAGAATATCTAATTCAGATGTTCTTCAAACGATTAACTAAACAATTAATTTCCTCTGATCCCATTTCATCACCAGGAAACGTAGAAATTTTCAAGTTGCACTGACGGATTAAATGAACCGGTTCCATGTTTGTTTCTCGATCGTTCGTTTAATTCGCGCCCTGGCACCGGCGTGTAATCCACGAGCCGAGTTATGTAGATCCCGGGCTTATCGCTCCAGGATTTCCATTCTGTCTCATTATTAATTTCCATGCGTTAAGCAGCCAAGCTTGGGATTAGTTGGTAGCGTCGTTACACAAGCCGACGAAACTGCACCATTTCTATGGGGTTCCATTGATTTCACGACGTAATTATTCCTGCAGGAATGTTGCATCCTGTGTCGTCGACCTGTGATAACTTTCCGTATTCTACGACATGACAATAAACTAAAAATTCGTGAATAATTTGTTGATGTTACCTAATTTTATTTTTTATAGTTAGTATCTAAATATTAACAGACAGATCGAAGTTGTTAATTTATTTAAAGGAAATACAGACAAGCGTAATTCCATTTCGTCATAGAGTCACATCGGCGTTTAACAACCACGGTACACTCGTAAAGTATATTCCACTTTCGTCTACGGTTTTTCTTCCTATGCTACAAATTTAAGAAACGAAAGAAACCTTGATAAACCCTCGTTCTACTATTTCTTCCAAACGTAACGTCCCATTTGAAGCTCGACCGAGCACATTGTTACGCGTGTACCAGGATGAACGAGCATCCTCGCCAGTGCCCGTAACTCTTGTCCACGGGGATGAGCTTATTACCGGGGAAACGTTATATATTCTGTGGAAATAAAGCTTCCGTTTAAGTTAACGTCGCTTTTCCGCGTATTTTCGGGAGTTTGTCAACAATAGAAAAGACAGAGCGTCGAGTGGTCAGCGTTGAGTCATAAACTTTCCATATGTCAGTGTCGAAATGTCAGCGCCGAATTGTCAGCGTCAAGTTGTAAGCATTCTATATTGTCAGCGTCGAGTTGCAAGCATTCCATATTGTCAACGTCGAATCGTCAGCGCCGAGTTGCAAGCATTCCATTTGTCAGCGCCAAGTTGTCAGCGCGGAGTCGCAAGCATCCCATACGTCAGAATCAAATAGTTGATGTCAAGTCGTCAGCGTCGAATCGTCGGCATCGAGTCATCATCGTCGTGTCGTTAGTAGGAGAAATGTAGGCAGCAGGAGGGAAAAACTTTCTCACAGTGGGTATTCGCTTTCCCGGCTTCGATTTAGCGCTATCGACCTCGATATGCTCTTCCCGGAGGATTGTCCGTGGATCACGGAGCAACGCGACGCCGGCGTTCCTTGTTCCATCGACTTTGAAAGTTTCAAAAGGTCGGATCTCCCACAAATCACATAATTTGTATGCATGAAGTCGGAATGTAGACGCGTTACGATAGCACGACCGAAGTCGTGGCTCGTCGAGATTTCTGTGAGCTCTAGACGCAAATTTGGTCCAAGTCCCCTATGGTGCCGTGGTCGTGTAACGAATGTGGACACGGAGGGTTCTATGATTCTACTTCTACCTCGACGTTCTACGAGAATATCGTACCTCAAAGTTGCACGGTTGTGTTTCTTTTTTAGTGGCGAAGTACCATATTCGGAATCGCAAGTTGAAGGACCGTAAATCTACGCTGCTTTTGAACTTTCATTTTATTCATTCAGTTTGTAGGTAGTAAAATGATCATTGTTAACGATCTAGATTTGACATCTTCAAAAATAACATCTCGAAGGAAATTAATATAAACAAAAAATAATTTTCTGAAAAAATTCTACAAAAATTCTCCGAATACTTTAACGGGAAACATTTCAGTGGAAAGGTGAAAAACTTTAATCTGGCCCTTTTTCTCGACCTTACGTTCCATTTTAAATTACTCAGCCAGAATTAAGGAGTTTCATTTTTCCCGTTTCCGCAAATATTTTACGGACGTTCCTTTCATAGCCACGAGCCACGTTCCCGTATAAATTATAACTTCTTCTCGCGCCTCTCGAAAGAAGACATCGCTTTACTCTTTCCCTCTGTAATCGTTCGTATTTATGCCCGTTGAAATCGCGTTTGAGACGACGCGACCCGCACGATCGGTCAGCAATACAAATTGATTCTCGAGTAAACCGAATTTTCGAGAGTTATGGAAAAAGTTGGGAGCATTGTAATTGCAGTGGTCTTGCGAATTTATCCGCGACACCGGAGAAAGTTCATACACTGGTGACGCGAGAAATGGGAAAAAGGATCGATCGCTGGATACCTGGTGCACGACGTTGGAAAATTTCGCAAGGTACATTTGAATTTAACCCGGGATCCCGCGAAATCCTTACAATTCGACGTGTAATTAAAAACGATCTACACCTGGAAGGGGAGGGAAATAAAAGAATGATCCTCCTGATAATTGGAAAACGTGTGTTAATGGAATAACCATCGTTAAATCTAATATTTGATGAAAAAAGAAAGTTCCTTTTCACGGAAACGTAAAACTTCTATCTTCTTCTTTATCGTCATATTTAATTCCCGAATATGGAAGCCCGTTAATTTCATCAGATACGTTTGAAGTCTCCGAATGTTAGCTTCGTCGTATTGATCAGTCAAAGTGATTAATAATTTTCATGAAACGACAGACAGATATGTACGTTCGCAAAAAGAGCGGTTAGGGTTGTAAGAAGGGTGCTGGCAGAGTTGTACCGAACCGTATGCAAGAAGAGACATTGCGATGCTCCAATCCGCTTGACTGCGGCTGTGACACGAGCGACGAAAGAAGAAAGTAGGGCGATGAGCAGCGTGAAGGAGAGAAGGGTGAAAGGAGAGGCACGGGCATCGAAAAGGGAGTAAGGGATGGGGACAGATGCATCAGAACGGTATTTGTTGCGCACAAGGGTGAACAACGCAAGAAGAGCGGAAATGTGTAAAAAGACTAAACAAAAGCTTCAGCATCGAGTGCTAACGAGGTGAGAAAGGTTTAGACAAAGGTTACTTTCGAAGAATGAGGGTTGAAGGAGTTGAACGGAGCTGAAAAACGGAGCACCGCTGCAAGGGAATGAGTAAATAAAACGAGAAGCGAGTACTGGACAGGTAAAGGGAAATTAATTGCAACGTTGGTAGCTGAAAGGATTGTCAACGGAGAGGAACGCCAACATAGTTTGTTTTTTTTCTCGGACGTCTTAGATATGCAGAAGTCGTTGCAAAACGAAGGCTGAAATTTTTTTAAAAAGAATCAAAAGAAAGCTTGAGTGCTCTTGTAGATTAAAGTTTATTCCACCATACTCTTCTTTTACAAAATGAACCGGAAACGAAGTTTATTATTTTTTAATGCAATGATACTTTCATATTTGACAGACTCCTCTATTTACATTTATAGTCAGGAAATTGCTTGATGCTTTCTTTATTCCGAAAACCCTTCTGTCCTCATTTTCATCATTTTGTAATTTGGAGAACGATCACTATCGCTATTCCGCCCTTAAATCGATCGGCGCACATAATCCTCTCTCTGCTTCCAAATAATGTAGCGCTGCTTTGAATAATACCGTCATTATGCGGTAATACCGTAATTGCTCTACATCGTGTGAAACGATGGGTCCAGGTGTCAAATGGTACAAATCCATTCCCAGTCGATTTTGAGGTTTCGCCAGACAGGGTGATCCTCTCGCTACGCTACCCGAAAAGAAGTGCCGCCACAATAGAATGTAGAAGTCGACATCCCATTTTTGTCATCGCTTACTTGACCCCTGCAGCGAAGACGGCTGTGTGCGTGAAAATGTGTGTAATAAGCAGAAGAGTTCCATTTAAGCGCTGCGGGAAACAGAATATTTTCTTAACACATTTTCACGCACACAGTCGTCTTCGCTGCAGGGGTCAAGTAAGCGATGACAGAAATGGGATGTCGACTACTACATTCTATTGTGGCGGCACTTCTTTTCGGGTAGCGTAGCGAGAGGATCACCCTGTAGCTTTTATCATTTCATTGTTCTCCATGTTCAATATTGAAAGTCGAATTTTTTCCGTTAATTTCAATGATCTCTCTGTTGCAGGTAACACGAAAGGAAATAAAATTTCGGCAGGACCAGACGCACCTTGGTTTCTATCTACCCACGCCAATGTCCGTCGAAGGGACCTTCGAAAAATCGAAGACGAGTCACCTGGTTGGAGAAAAGAACGCGGATCGTCATCTCGAGGACAGAAAGAACCGGAATGGAAGAAGCGTCTCGGTGACGAAGCCACGGTCGCGACGGTGGACAAGGTAGGAAGGTCGACGCTGGAGAACCGGAGCGCGGAACAGACAGGACGAGGAAGAAGGAAGGTGGTTACGGCTGAGTGGGTGACGGAGAAAGGACGAGGCTTGGAGGTAAGGTGGAACAGGTGAAAACGAGACGGAGGGGAAAAAAGGAAAGCTACGAAGACAACAGAATTGTGTGAGTAGGAGAAAGAGAGATTGAGAGTGGAGAGAGATAGGAAGGGATGATGAAAAAAGAGGCCGAGGCAGAGACCTACATATTCCGCGGGGCCAATGAGACGGCGCAATGTGGTGGCACGGTGTTTCTCGTCCTTTTCCAACGAGTTTACCCGATCATGGAACGAAGTACAGCGCAGCCGAGCCGAGGGGAGGGAAGCGAAGGTAGCTGGTCGGAGCAGAGCGGTAGACCAACTCAGTTGCTCACGAGCATTCGCCAGAGAACGTACGAACGAAACATGGCTGTCCGTTTCTTGAACAACGCGGGTGTCGTGCTCGCGACGTGTACGGTGTTTCTGGTGTTCGCTAACATTCTTGTTCACGCCGATGCCGAACAAACGCAGTCGACCTTCAACGTGGAGAAGCTGTACGTACCGGAGGTGTGCGACGCCAAGTCGAAGATCGGTGACCAGCTAACTATGCACTACACCGGCACGTTGCAGGATGGCACCAAATTCGATTCAAGGTCAGTGGAGTTTTAATTAACCAGACGTACCTGTGATAAAAGGATGCGCATACCGCGCGTGTCCCTCCGTGTGACTTCGTGCTGGTCGGATCTTTTGTCGGGTTTCGAGTACACGTGTCACTGGACCGCGGCGTACGCTCCGTCCCATAAGTCATGGGACAACAACATTTTAATTTTCGAATGAAGCATTAAATGTTTATTGTTTATTTCACACGTCGTATTGCACGCGAAATATTTCTATGTTTACATATATGATAACGATTTCAAGAGTTTGATTAAAATATTTGAACTCTATGTTGAAAAATATTTGTCAATATATTTGAAGTTATCCTGGAATCGGTAAATAATTATTTTATTTAAAATTGAGGGTATTTAATTTAAACTAATAAATGTCCCATGACTTATGAACAAAATAGTATGTTATAAAATCATGCTGCAAGTGACTCTTCTTCACGCGTTTTTCATCGAATATTTCAACAGCTTTTTGTGTCACACTTACTTACTAAAGTAGGCTTTAACTTTGAACGACTCGTTTGGGAGCAATGACGTGTACCATACTCAGATGCTGGGTTATCTGACTGCCTACACGTAGGCTGATATGATGCTAGCAATTATGAAATTGCTCGCCCGATTAATTTAAAGTGATCGTTATTATTCACTGCGTTGTTTCGTGTCGGATAGAATGTCTTTTTTCCGGTTGATTACATCTCAACTCGATTTATCGAGTGACATATGTTGATAGAAGAAATTAATGCGTTTAAGATCTAGAATGTTAGCGGTGATCGACACCATAAAAATCATGTTAATATGATTGCTCTTGCGCAGGATATCAAGGGAGGACTTAATGTGTTGAATACTGCAGTAAAGAGACACGCGTAGTAAACTTTCAATTTGCTACCTCGCATTATTAGTTATATTTTTTCCTTTTATTTTTAATAATTATTTGATTAGATAAAATTTGAGAAGCCGTGACAATGAACATTATCAATTGAAAAATAAAACAATTGTCTTCTGAATAATTGCAATTAAAGCGTGTCTTATTATACACGGCTGTTTTCACTGCGGTATTATCTCCTTGCCTAACGAGGACGAGTCGTGATGCAACTTGCAATTCAAATATGACATACTTGGATCTTAGTTGCAGTAGAACTTCATTTTAAATTTACTTCTAACTATAATTTTGTTATTATTATTCTTTTCAAATCTTAATATAGTAACGTACTGCGGTAAATAATCGTTTCCTTAGTCTTATTAGCCAAGATTTCTTTAGCCACTGTATTGAAAATTAATTCCAAACGATAAAGAAGGCCAATGTTCAAGAACGCACTCAATAGCAGAAATACGTCAAATTACATCATGCTCATTCAAGTGGCACGAGAAAAAGAAGCGGATCTCTCGCGTCATTAAAAAGTTGTCTATCGACATAATTGGACTGCTCGTAGTATCGTTTCTGCTTCTTGTCACAAAAGTTGTTTGCATTCGAGAAGGATTGCTTCCTTATATTATTCAGAATACTGATTTCAATAGTATTGACATACAGTTGAATCTTTAAGCTTAATAATAAGAAAAGAAATTGAAATTCTTATTAACCCTTTCGCTGCCACGGTGGTCCCATGGGACCGACGCTTGTCTTTTTATTTGGGCCATGAATTTGTTTAAACTGCGTCACGGGTGACCACCACTAAGAAAAATGTGCTATTGGCAAGATTGTACCGTTATTTTAATATATTTTGCAGTTCTTTGCCATTATAAAAATTTTAATATGCAATTTGTATTGTGGCCCACTGGTGCAAGTTCAAAAATGCGCGTGGCAGCGAAATGGCGGACCATGGAGAGAGTCACAGTTCTAATTTAATTTTGTATTTCATATTATTTTTATTTTCTAAATTTTCCTCTATTTCTTCAAAAATTATTCTTCTAATATATAAAATTCTTTCGTTTCAAAATTATACATTCGAGTGTGTACACAATTTGTATCACAACTTGCACCACAGTAATTGATATTCTCGATAGAATGAATTCACGATTCGAGTGTTCCTTATCTAAAAGCGAATATTACCAAGCACCGATGTCACGTAGAGCAGGCGTTTCGAATAGTTTAAAGTAGGAACACTCGTAAGTCGTAGGCATTCCATGCGACGTGCTTGGGTTTTGGATCGTTCAAACGGAAAGTCCCTCGAAACCATCGATCTTCCTTCTTAAAATTCTAACTACTCATCACAGATGGTTCGTCCATTTATCTGTACTCAGAAATTGGGAAACCTTGGAGCAATCAAATACATCACCATCATTAGAATTTAACCCCTTGGCTACTATGTCACTTATATTCAGGTGACACCTGAATTGTGACGCTCATTTTATGAAAGATAATATTACTTAAAATTAACAAATGAACACTCTATCCTGTAGGTTTTTCGTAGAAAATCTCTGTGTTATTTTCTCTCATAACACAACGTCTTGCCCGACATAAGAAAGTTTAATTACTTGCCAGAGCATGTTCCATGGATTCCGTTACGACAATGTGGAACACGCGTGTTTCCGTTGCTTAGAATAGAGTTCTGACTCATTATCGGTCCCGAGAAATCTCACCAACGAAGTAACTCATGCGATTCGAATGTTTGGCGATTTACTTACGTTATCTGATGTCATTTGCAGAAATAATTGCACCTTGATTTTAATGGCAAATGTAATTTGTTGATCGATGATGGTATAAAGATCGGTGACAGGAAACTATAGTTATCTTCTCAGATGAACGATGCTCGTGATAAAGAGCATTTTAAATAGAAATTTTTCATTCGAAATAGACAAACGAAATTGATTCTGTTTGGCTAGAGAAACCGATAACCGTCCTATTTCACCGCGAAACTGATAACCGTCTCTCTATTCACCGTTAAATATATTCGTGTGTAAACAAGGACTGTTATCGCGAGTTCTTGCGACCTTCATTCCTGACAGATTAAATAATCGCACTTTCTTCTCCACGCCGATGGCACCAGGATTATCACACGACTGTTTGTGTCAGCGAAATATCACGCTATTAATAACCAGAGGCAAGCTTAGCAGACTGTGAACGAAGAATTTAGATTTGTCATTCAGTTGGAGAGCTATGGATCACGGGGTGTTATAATGGGCTTGATTGTTTGTCAAGTAATTATTCATATTATAATATTGCAAAGGAAATACATTGTTCCTTCTAAGATACTTAATAGATGTTAGATTTTCTTTTTCAAGCACCGATAAAATGTAGTTATTTATTTCTTGGAATTTTTAAAATTGTTTACAATATATTTTTTATTTTTTCTTATATTACTTTGTGGAAATATCGGGTCGGGTATCCTAAACTTTGGGTTCTCCCACAACTCTATTATATTTTAAAAGACTAAAGAACATTATTTCACTGCTTGATCCTTAAAATTGTCTTTTATCATTATTTGATAAATTGTTCACTGAAATAAGTTTACCAGCGACGATACATCCTGTCTAACAGGATAAGATATGTTTTCAAACGTTGCTGTACCACGGATTATGCAACCCACGGGAACGTGCATTATTCAAGTTCGATATTATAATATAAGCAGGATAGGCGACGAAAAGTCCTTTGTGGTCGCAATATCGCGCGAAATTGTATCGCGTTCGGATAAACGTCGTCCCGCTCGTGTTTTCATAATCATTTGGAAATCATCGCTCGTTAAAAGTTTCCCGGAACGTTCCGCTTTATACTTGCCTTTCACAGAGTTTCCCTCTCCCTTTCTTTCCTCCTGTTTATCAGTATTTCGAAGCTGCTCTACTCCGCGTCGCTTTGATGGTCACATTAATTAAAATGTAAAAAATTGCACGCGTCGAGCAGACGGATCTACCTTTGTAATCGCGAATTCTTTTACCTGTGTGGATCGCGTTTGAATGCGTTTTCGCACGCATCATATCCGGTGAAACGAAGTGTAACATCCTCCACTGTCTGTCGTCATTTCGAACACGGCAAAGGGATCTTAACCGTTAACCTGTTGCCTAACTATTTGTTTCGATCGATTCTCTGTATTGCACGTATGTCTATAGGGTGTTCAAAAAACGAGTATACAGCGTCATTTTTATATGAGTTGAATCAAGAATTTAGTGTTGTTTCATTTTTGGTTCTGTTTCATTCTTTTTAGTTGAATCTTCCAGCGATGTTGTTAGGGAACGATAATGAGAGCCGACCGAGGTAACCGTTTTGCCTCGTCCAAATAGTTTCGTGTTGCCGTTATTGGTGCCGTTAATCGAGAAGCGGACATGCTGTGACGGGAAAAGTTAATGCCACGTTTGGGGATCACGAAAGAGGCGATGAACCATGTAGCAGACGTGTCAGTTCCATTATACAGAGTCAAACAACATAGAATTTTTTTTTTTTATTAGTGTATTAATTTACAGTCTGTCGTAAAGTGACAATAAGTAAATTGGTTAAATTATTACAATATCTCTTACATACAAAAGGGATGCTCTTGAATAAAATAAGGATCTGATAAGTTTTAAACTAGTGTAAGGTATATATCAATGTCTTATATATCTTTAACCTGGCGACAGAGATGGTTTCTTTAAGTATATTTGTAGCTAGTTGATTTGGATGATGCGTAAGTCTATTCTTATATCTATTGAGAAATGTTATCTCTTCTTTGATCGTTGGTATTTGTAGGTCACATCTGATCAGTTTGTTAGGAACAAACCAGGGAGCTTTTGTTATACTTCTAAGTACTTTAGATTGAAATCTTTCGATTATATTTTTATATTAGAGCTGAATTCCGTATGTCCAAACAGGTTGAGAATGCTTTTATAGATGAGTATGTTTTATTTTTAACAATGGAAAATAAAACATAGAGTTAAAATTTTTATTTTAATTAAAATAGCCTACATGCGAGGTGTATGAAAATTTTCGTAAGTAAACTGTTAGATTTTATGATGACCTTTCGATAAAACACGAAACTGAACGTATTAAATAAGGGTGAAAAGGAAATAGTGCTCCAAATCGA